ACCACTGTTGACAATTTAATGTTTTGTTTGTGCCATTGCCTGATTGCTTTCCTATTAGATTATAAACTGTGTGCAGACAGGCCCTGTTAGGTTTGCTCACCAAAACTACCCAAGATTCTATCAAAAAGGCCCTGTACACAGTGAGTTCTCAGTAAGTAAACGTCTGAAGGAGGAATTAGAAAGCCAAACGGAAATGGGAGAAATAGTGATCTAAGAAGCAATGGGGAGGGGAGATTATTTATAAGGTAACATGGAGACTAAGAACGAAGGGATTGATGAATTAAAGTTGAAGAAATTCATGGAAAATATGTAGAGTGAAGTAAGCCAAGACAAGAAAGGCAAACACAGGTGATCTTATTTAACTGTTGCATATAGAATATTGGATGAGGAAATGCATTTCCTCCATATGTAGTATGGAGGAAAGAACCTTATTGTAGTCAAGTGGGGGGATGCCTAGATCACTCTTGACCCCAGTGTTTAGAGAGAAGGATAGGGATGGAAAGAAATCAAGGGAGGAAGAAGAGAACAGGAAGTAATGGGTGACTAGGCATCAGGGATTAAGTTATACTGATGGCATGGGAGAGTGGTATAACCAAATATCCAAAACACAGACTCAACTACACTGAAAACATGAGATCTAAGCTGCAACCACTGGAACTTTGTAATGTTTCTGTCAAACTGAAAAGTGGGGGATAGGGTGGGGATTGGGGTAGTGAGGGAAGTTGACATTTGTTGGATTGTAGTTCCAAGCATTTTAGGTTTAACATTGGGCTGTCCTTTCTCCTCTTGCAGGGAGTTTAGGTTAAATGAATTACACCCATCACAGTGCCAGGCACACCCAGTTCTAGTGAGCACTTTAATCCTCTATGTTTATCATTAACCTCTCCTTTATGCTCTTCTCCTATCTGTTAATCACAAATATTTCCAAATCAGACAACAAATATCTCCAAATCAGAAACTGTAACTCGAAAAGTCAAACCTTCCGATGACTCTGGATTTTGCTTATGTAAGTAAAATATAATTTTTCTCTTTCCTTTATGTCCATTGCATTGTTTATTTTAGGGCAATGTCCTTTTTGTATAGACAAAGGAAGACAGTTAATGCTATGCTTCTGTAACATGGGAGTTAACTGACTCCTAATAATATTTACTCCTGGGCATCCATCATGTTTACTTGACTTAAGCCTCAGTTCCCGTTAGATTGACCTAATTTCCTAATACCCCAAAAGATGGGTCCCAAGGAAGGACTTGGATGGACCAGAAGCTACCCTGGCTTCAAAAGAGACAGTCTAAGAAGTATGATAAATAATGGTCATGGAACAAACTCTGTCATAACCCAAAAAAGAAGTAATTAAATAAGGACCCTGTTGGGGTTAGGAAAAACAAACCTGGCCTGCAGACTGTAGTCAGGGAAATATAGGAGACGTCCCCAGGAAAAGCCACCCTCTACCTTGAGTCCAGAGAGACCATTTGAATTTAATCTAGGGTATAGATAAAGCCTATATCTATTACTGTATTCATACAAAGTGACTAGAAATATTATTAAGAAGTAAATTTAATGTGATTGTTTAAGTGATTACCAGCAAAGGAAAGGAGAAAGCAATATGTCCTTAAATGGAATTCTGCCCTTCGGCAGATCTCCCAGAAGGAATCTAGAATGCTGGAACTCCTAAATGATATTCTGTCTTTGGGGGAATCTCCTAGTAGAACTTCCCTTGAAGGAAGGGCTTTATATCTGTTCACTGTTTATTTTAATGTCACCAACCACACCTATGTGTAACTGCTGTCTCTCAAACCATCATGATTTCTCTATAGTTAATGTTGAGAGATTTGAATAAATGGCCACTGATTACCAACCACTAATTACTAGTCTGTGGCCCCGAAGACTTGGTCTATTGGCTTGGGGGTATGGTCATCAGCTCTGAACACACGAGGGGACCCCTGGTCACCATTGGTGACTGACAATAACAGACACTCGTGGTAGAATATTATATGTCTAAAATTCAACTATCAATAACTTTGTAAATCACAGTTAATTTTTTGAAAAATAAAAAAATTTAAAATAAAAATTTTTTTTTTAAAAAGTTGAAGTTCAAACATGCCTAAAAGCTAGTGGTTAGAATAGTACAATGGCAACATTAAAGCTGCTCATTAAAGATGTAATAACCAACAGTTAAGACTTTCCTGATGGAGACAAAGATCAGGCAAAAGTACAGGTCTTAGACAGATAAAAGAAGCAGTAGAATTAAAAGGAAAGTGTCAACACAGATTTGTAGATTTGGTGATGGAGGGTTCAGAATTAGCAAGTTTTAAACTAAAGACCTATTTCTTTGTGATGTCAAAAGAGGCATAAATTGCTGAAAGGAAAGTACAAAGAAAAAACCTGGGTCAGAGGAACATAATTCAGTGACTAGAAAGAAGGATTGTTTACCATCTCAGACACCCTTGCAGAATTTAGGACTTACCTGGCAGAAGGTTGCCCATTAATGGAATATTCTCTAGCTGAGCTTGAAAGCTTGGCACAAAGAAGGTAGTCAGTAATGCTCTTTGGCCAGATGGGTGTGAAAAAAGGGACAGGATCGAGAAAGCTTCGGATCCTGGAAGAGTAAGAAAGAGATGGTATCTGCTAAGCTGGAGAGAGAGAAAAGAAGACAGAATAGAATTAATAGGAAAGTCTGGATGATGGGGCTAGTTTTATGAGAAGTGTGACAAAGCACGTATGCGGAATGGTTGGTAGCGAGAACAGGAAGGAAAAATGCACCATCAGAGGTGTAGGCTATGATTCTGAACCCCCATTTACAGGTGGGGCTGTGTACAGGCGACTACAGAGAGCTGAAAAAATGAATACTTAAGATCACAACATCAAGTAGTGGAAGTGTCGATGGAACCCAGGTTCGCCAATGTCAATGGATTCTCAAATTCTTAAAGGAATGAGTCTGGGCTCATATAAGTGGGAGCCTGGTTATCCAAGTACTCACGATTCTGGGTGAACCCCAAAGGAAAGAAGTCATAAAGGGACACTAAAATAGTTATAAAATATATTAATGAATAAGCAAATTTATAAAATTAGTCCTCTGACGTTCCTCATCTGGCTCAAGATTAGCTTATACTAATTTTTTTTGTCTGAAAATTCCCATCAGTGGCTCTTGTCTGTCTATTCTTGGAGAATCCTGTGTTAAGACGTCAATGAGATCAACTGTGAATTGCACCTTTACATCTATCTTGCACAAGATTCAGGAGTCCATGACATTGGTAAAAGTGCTATTGGAGGATGGTCTGGAAAACATGCAAAGTCACTGACAAAAGGCGAATTCAGTAGATTAAGGCCAGTTGCCGCCCTGGAAGAAATCTCTGGCTGCTCACCAAGCAACCATTTCCCATTCTATTACTCAGTAATAGAATTTCCACTTTCCAGTAATTGTGTTTCTATTTTAACAGTAAATAAGACAGCCGTTAACATAACCTAAAATTTAAGAAATAGATACAAAAAAATTTGGGGGGAGTGGGGTGGGAAGGTTTGGTGGGGTCCACTCAGCCTAGGTCTGCCCCTGTGCTACAGGAGGGTGCTTTGGGATCATGCGGTCTCTGGGATGGTCCTTGGGTTCACACTGGACCTCCCACATGCAAAGCATATCCTCACTCCTTGGAGCTCTCTCTCAGGCCCTGAGAACCAAATTTTAAATTCAAAGAGATAAACATCCAGTCTCAGACTATTTTCCTCTTTCGTTGCAGTTGCACTGTCTGTAAGGGAAAAAGCAATGCTTCTTAGGGAGGATTTGCTGAAAACAAATCCGTGCACTGGTGAATGCTACCATGTACAGACACTGGTTAAGAGCACCAGTTAACTTGGAGTCAGTGGTGGTGTGAAGATAAAAAGGTTTACACCAAAAGAACGTAAATGCATACAGGATGAACATGAGTTACATCTAAGTACAAAAATCAGCCATGCACAGCTACCTGGATAGAAAGGCTAGAAAAGACATTTTACACTTCTATTTACTGCATTCGCACACCAAGCCAGCCGAGGATGAACAAAGATCCCAGCAGCCAGAGTTTGCATTCAGAAACCGGAAGTTAACGTCTCCATAAAAACCTAAAATTCCTTTACTGGTGTCCATATTCCCATCTGAACCTGCAGATCAGCTGACTGGATTCTGCAGTTACTCTCACGTCCTGCTTTTTTTTACCCCACCTCTCGGAACATGGGACCGCAGCCAGAAAACCTAAACAAATCAAAGCGCCTTCTCTATACACAAAATCAAAAAGTAACCCCGGCGAGCCTGCACTCTGCTTATTGGATTCAGATGTTTCGGAATTCAACAACAACAGCGACACGCCCCTCTCGTCTCCGTTCTCCCGCGTGGAAAACGCGTTCTCTGCACGACCCACCTAGAGCCGGAGTCCTGCGTTTTGTAAAACTCAAATCTAAGAGAACAAAGAGCTGCTCTTAACAACAGGGGCTCGTCGTGTCCTTAAACGGTACTTATTGATGACTCGGTCTGATCTAAATGAACACGTACAGGTTGTGCCTTCGCCTGGCTCCTCCTGGCTCAGGCTGGCGGGGGCTGATTTTTAAAGACGCGCTGGCTCGGAGCCAGCAAAGCTTCTGGGGAGGGGTGGGGGGGGCTTCGGCTGGGGCGCTGTGCCAATGGGCTTCTTCTTCCCACGAGATCATGCGCCACCCAGAAGGACTCGCCAATGGAAGAATTCTCGCCTCACAAAGAGATAAGTAGGGCAGAGGTGTTATACAACCGACATCCAACGCCGAACGCCAGGCCGAGGAACCCCTCAGCAGCGGCCCGGGTTCCACAGCATCGCCGGGGCCGGGCAGTTCTGCTCCAGATCTGCTGAACGCGACCCCTTACCAGCATCTTGGCCCGTGCGAGCGATCGGCGTGCGAAGCAGGAGCGGCTCGCGATCCCGGGACCAAGATCGGGACCCCCCGCTTCCTCCCTCCGTCCCACCCACCGTCCGGAAAGTCCACCCCCCGGAGGGCGCTACCTGTTTTCGCATGCTATTCATGACGCCCATGAAACCCGCCAGCAATTTCGCTTCTTCTCGGGCAGCAAGTTTCTTCTCGGTCTTCTTCTTGCTGCTCTTCTCCACCCCGGAGGTTGCCATCCTCCGTCAGCTAGAGATTCACCTGCGGAGCTCGCCGGGGCGGGCGAGGGGACTGCAGGCTCCTGGCAACGCTGGCGTCTCCGTTAACAAAACGCCGAGGTCAGGAGTGATGCTGGAACGCCCCGCTCCAAAGCCCGCAGCCGGCGGCGCGGCACTGTAGGCTAACAGACCCCCCTCAGTGGAGCCCGAGGGATGCGATGCCTGGGGGTCGCGGCGACCTAGTAGAACTGCAGCGCCGCCGAGGAGTCTGCGCGTTCCACTTCGGGGGGCGGGGCCGTTTGGAGGGGGCGTGGCAGGGTTATGACGTCACTGGGACGCGCCGCTCAGGGAGGCGCAACTTGCTGGCATCGCCTTTGCCGCTGTCTACCCGCAGGCTTCCCGGGAACGTGCTCGCGGGGACTGTGGGCTGTTGTCGGCTCGAGACAGACTTCCCAAATTTCAGTCACGGGGAGAGATTTTTTTCTCCTTGACTAGGCGCATAACACGTTAAACTGTCGCCCATGAATGTAAACGCTCTAGGGACAGGTTTGGTGTTTCCTTCGCCATTGTATTAATTAGGTTCTGGCATGTTGTTAACGCTCAGTTAAATATAAAGTGATGATGGAATGTCACGCACTGCTAGTTTGAAGCTCACGACATTGTGCAAAAGATTTACTTACTGGGGATTCGTATATTAACAACACGTGTTGTAGGTGTACTGTAGGTATGCTTACCTGTTGTCTCCTTGATTGATATGCAGTACACGTCCGTCTAGACCGGGTTACTCCTAATGTATGGAACCAAGATCAGTTAATTCCAGAAATCTTCAGTTCATCTTTTCCTTAGGTGCTTCTGGAATATCAAACTCAATCATGGGACTTTTTTCCTTTTTCCTTAAAGCAACCTGTGGTGCTCGGATCTGCAGCGCAGTCCTGGGGAGGTTGCTAAGGGCTACTCAGGTGACCAGGTGGTGCAGGGGATAGGACCTGGGCTTCCCTGGCAATGCACTTCACCCCATTCAACTTTCTCCCTGACCTCTCAATAGCAGAACTTTTGAAACAAGTGTCATTTATTCCTTCTAGTGTTTAGTAGTATACAGGATTGTTTTAAGTCTTATATTAATTTATATGCTGCTGTATTTGCTTCCGCGTACCCGTATAGGTAAGGTAAAGGTAAAGGCCCTCCCGTTGATCGTCGATTTGCTCAAGCGGGCCCAGTAACGTCTCCATTGGAGACTTTGTTGTTACTGTGTCTGGCATATCGAATACTCTCGGTAGCTTGCCGGGCTCTCCGAGAGGGGCGGAGGAATCGAACTCGGGTCGGCCATGTTGGCCGCTTGTAAGGCGAACGCCCTACCGCTGTGCTATCGCTCCAGCCCGTATAGGAATATATAAATATATGTTTTACATAAAATAACTTACAAAATTGAAGTGTTAAGGATCAACAATACAGCATAACAAATGAAACATCAAGTGGCATGTGAGTCTTCATTTGATTGTGTTGGGGGAGGTGACTCACACCAGAAGAAGGAGGGTGATTTATTTGAAGTGGGGAGAATACAGGTAGCAGCTTCCCTTTCTACCCGCCTTGGTCACTTGGGGAAGTGCTGGGGAAATCGAGGTCTGATGAAAGTCTTTGATGAGCATCTGCATCGTACAGAACTTATGTCTCACAATGCAGTTATCAGACTGCACTTTTGTTCCACTTGTTCTGCTGCTGGCTTGGGAAATGATCCCTGCCAACCCAATTCCTCAGGGAGCTGTAGAACTCAGGACGGAATTATTCTTTCCAGGAAAGAAAAGTTAGCCCCAAATCCTGCCCAGGCCCCTAGGTCCATCGCCTTTCCTGACAGGAAAGAATTTCAGGAGATGAATAGTATTGTAAGTAAATTTATTTGGAAAACGAGAGAGAGAGAGAGAGAGAGAGAGAGAGAGAGAGAGAGAGAGAGAGAGCGCTGCTGGAAAAAAGTGCAAAGTACACATCACAGAGATGCAGGCCACTTCCCCAAAATGGAAAATTGTACCCTAAAGTAGAAAACTACATATCTCAGGCAGAGATGCAGACAAATGTGCCCTCAAGTACATTCACATCTCAGGCAGAGATGCAAGCATTTGACTTTCACATGGCTAACCCAGGTTTGATCCCCAGCCCCACAAATGATTCCCTAAGCCCTGCCAGGATTGATCTCTGAGTGCAGAGTCAAGAGTCAGGCCTAAGCACCATCAGGTGTGATCCAAAACAAAGAAATAAAAATAAGAGAAAAAAATGAACTAGAACCACTTCACACTTACTAGGGTATTATAATTTTAAAATGTACTGTAACAAGTGTTGTTAGAATGTAGAGAATTTGGGATCCATATGTATTGGGATTCTTAAAAAGGTGAAGCCCCTTTGGAAATGATTTTGAAAAGTCCTTAAAATATTGAAAATAGAGTTATCTTATGAATTTCCGTGCCTAGAAATACACCCAAGAGACTTAAAAACATGCCCACAAAAACACTAAAACAGAGAAGTTTTGGCAGAATTGTTTTCAATAGCATAAAATGAAAATAAATGCCTATCTACTTATAAACAAATAAATGAACTGTTACAACCATATAATAAAATATTATTTAGTTAAAAAATGAACTCACAGTACATAGTATAAGATACACAAACCTTGAGAACATCATACTAGTTAGTGGGAATGTTGTCTGGTTCTTTCTCTAAGAAAATAGTATAGAGACACTTCAAAAAATTAAGAAAAGAATTTCCATATGACCTAGCGATTCCATTTTTTGGCACCAACCCCCAAGAGCAAAAAATATTAGCTCAAAGAAAAGGTGTTTGTGCTCCTATGTTAATTGCAGCACTATTCACAATCCTCAGGACCTGGAAACAACCCAAGTGTCCAAGAACAGATTAGTGTATAAAGAAACTCTAGGGGGGTATGGTGCTGCCAGCAGATCAATCTGTACCTGTGAGGCGAGTGCATCAGCAGCCTGATGGCGCCTTTTGACTTCCAAATACCCCAAAATTGCTGCTGTGCCTTTGGCCAGACCCCAGAAATTTGGGGCAAAGTTTACCAAGAAAGTAAACGGCCAAAAGTTAGGTATGTGGGAGACACACCCACAAACCACCTTCGGCTCAGCTATATAATTGGAGGCATGGCCTCTCTGGTTCCTGATCGAACAGCTTAATGACCATGATCCCAGAAACTCAGAAACAAATGTCGGAACCCAAAGGCTTTTGGCAGAAATGCTTCCTGTTCCTGCAGTGGGTTACTGGCATTGGGCCACTCCAGGTGGAAATAGGTTTTGTGCCTTGGCCTGCTCCCCTTGGCGGCCCGGTGACTGCCATTTTCCAGAAGCCACAGGACAGTCAGGTTTGGGCCTGCAGTGATGAGACACTTCCTCCCCATCCCAGCAAGACCCCAAGTTGCCGCCTACAAACAGCCTCTCTGGCTCCTGATCAAGCTGATTAATGGCCATGATCCCAGAGACTCAGAAAAAAATCTCAAAACCCAGCGGCTTTTGGCAGAAATGCATCTGGACCGCATACAAGGTGACTGCTGCCTCAGACTTCTTGGAAAGCCAGGTATGAGCCAGTGGTGACGGGGCAACTGCAGTCTCATGGGAAGGGGGATAGTACAAGCTCGTCCTTCACGCCCTACCGAGGTCACAAGTTGCACCCCAACAAGCGGCTCTCCGGCACAGCCATGGCTCCAGAGGCGAAAGGACTTAATCCAGAGCCCGGCAGCTTGTGGCAGAAAAGTGAATGGACCGTGCACTAAACTACGGCACCATGCCTCCCCGGGAGGGAAAGAGTGTTGCTCCCTTCTGCCACCCCCCCCCCCCCCCGGCAGCAAGGTGGCCGCTGCCTCAGAGCTTATAGGAAAACCAGGTATGAGCCAGCGGTGATGGGGCAACTGCAGTCTCATGGGAAAGGGGGGCGGTACCGGCTCATCCTTCACGCCCTACCGAGATCACGAGTTGCCCCTCACAAGTGGCTCTCTGGCACGCCATAACACCAGATGCACAGAAACCAATCTTCTAATTATCTGGCTCTTTGCAGAAATCCAAAATTGCGGGGTCATTATGGCAGCTGCACGACATTATATGATTCTCATAACCAGCTATAGAAAACAAAGTATTTCACAATGCCTTTTCAGCAATTCTGATTGGGGGGAAATTCTAAACAATAATGGTGCATCTTTTGTCGAAATAATGAATGTAATCAATGTAGAGAAGAGTTAAGTAGAAATCATCTGCCTCACAGGCATTGGGAGGGTTGGGAGGGGTATATTGGGGTTCTTATTGGTGAAGGGAAAAGTGTTTGATCATTGTATGACCGAGACTTAAACCTGAAAGCTTAGTAACTTTTCCCACAGTGATTCAATCAATAAATATAAGAAGAAAATAAATAAATAAATAAAATTATAAAAAAAGAAACTGGAATGTATACACAATAAAACAGGACTCAACTATAAGAAAAGATAAAATCTTGCATTTTGTTCCAATATGGATGAAACTGAAAAGTATCATGCTGACCAAAATGAGTTAAAGGAAGAACAGATACTGAATGATCTCACATATTATGGAGTATAAAGAAACATAATAAGGAAATAAACAAAGGCCAGTGATAGAGGGACGCTGGTACTCTGGTGGTGGGCGTGGCGGAGCAACTTTGTGTTCCTGAAGCATTCATATAAGCAGTATTTAAATCTGGTGTCTATATTTTGAATTATGCTAAGTTAAAGAAAAAGACAGATTGTGTATTATATATTTATATTCCTATAATATTTATAGAATACGCAAATATGTAGAGATAGCCAATAGAATAGTGTTCCAGGGACTGGGGGACAGAGTAATGGAGAGTGATCATTAATGAGGAAGATACTTGATTTGGGAGTGACAAAATTTTCTGGGTTTAGACTGTGGTGATCATTCACAGGTCTGTGACTAGTGAAGACCACTGAGTTGTGGGGTCCTGAGAGATAGTACAGAGGATAGGGCACTTGCTTTGCACACAGTCTACACAAATTAGATACCTGGCTTCCCAAATAGTCCCCTGATAACTTCTAAGAGTAATCCCTGAGTGCAGAACCAGGAGTGTACCCCAAAACAACAACAACAACAACAATAAAAAGACCCCACACTGAATTGTGATATGTAAATGGATTTTTTAAAAAAATTGTAAATGCAGTACTTTTTCATCTTGAAAGGAAACATAAAATACAGTTTATTAGAATTCTGTTTTTACAATACACCTCTAGAATATC